TTGCATTAATTTCAATCGGAATTATACTAATGTTATGTTTAAATCTGTAGTTACAGTGGAAGGTAATAATATATCTTAATAACTATTAATTTAGTTCAATCACAATTATTAGTTATTAATTTCAAAGATACATCTATGTTTTTAGGATTAAACCCAGAAGAACTCGCAGTGTACAACAAATTGGATAATCAAGGGAAGGCGCTTTTTTTTAAATGCAATTAAGGAAGCAAAAAATGCAATTAAGAAAGCAAAAAAAGAAGGTAGAGAAGAAGGTATAAAAGAAGGTAGAGAAGAAGCTATTAAAGAAGAACGCAAAAAAGGAGTATGTTTGTTTCAATATAAGTCTATCTATTTATAGGACTTTACTAATATTATATTAGTTTTTTCGGTTTTTTTCGTCATTTTTTTTCCAAATAGAAATTCATCACAAATTTAATAATCGCTACATTTATCATTATTATCACCATAGTATTTGATGTATTTGATGTGAAAAAAAAAAAAATGATGATATTTCACTTTATACATTAGTTTTAAATTCAGTTGTATTTGGTTTTTAGTTACTTTGGTCAGTGATCTTAGCCATCCGAGAAAAACCAGAAAACAAAAAAAAAAAATTTATTTTGCTCTTACATTACTTCCCTTATTGTTTGGAACTCTTCTCTCGATAATTTTAGGGAAATTTGTTATTACATCAACCCTTGCTATAGCATGGGCAGAGGTTGGTATAATGTGCCCCAACCTCGCTAGAGATTATTTTTTATAACTAAAAATTAATTTGTGTCCAAAAATTATTTGCCCAATTTAAAGTTACATAAACAATGTAATTTAAAACGTTGAGCGAATAACTCGACAACCACTTGGCCAAATTTTTATTTTGATTCTCTGAATATAGAGGATTCGAATAAAAAAAATTTCACCAGTAGTTGTCGAGATATCTTAGATCAAATTTGAAAAAGCCTATCAAAGTAAAAAAGCTGCGCCAATTTTTTTTTAAAACTTTAAGCGAAGATATTTCGATAATCACAATTTTAAATAAATAAATTGTAAGTGAACAATTTACGTCTTCCTTAAGTTCCTTTGCATAATGCATGAGATGTAGAAAGTAGACCAGTAGCGCGAATGAGAACAATAGTCATATGAATTTTTAGCCAATCATCAGATGAACCGTGAACATCAAATAATCGTCTAACAGCTCTTTAGGGTTAGAATTTTATTATATTAAAAATTTCACGAGTGAGTTTTTCTGTTAGAACATAAATGACAATTTATAGACAAATTATGTCACATTATACTTAATATGCCTTACTATTTATAATATAAATTCGAAGAAAAGTCCATGTAGGTAATAAAGATTAGCTTAAAGGTTGCTGTTTTTATAATTTTATGAATTATTAATAAGTTAAGTCTGTTTGCATACCGATACGTACAAATCTGTGAACTTATAAAATTAAAGTTAACACATTTATTATTTATACGTATATTATTGATGATTTTTACGTACTAAAACGCACCTATGATGTTTTACACCTATTTATGTATATATTATCTCAAAAACTGGCTAATTAATCAATGCAAGATGTTCCAAGTAAAAGTGCTCTACGCCCCTAAAACTCCTTCCCAAACCCTAACCCGAACTCCAAATACTAATACTAACATAAAAATTTTGTGTTGAAAATTTTTTTAAAAAACATAATAAAACATATGATAGGTGCAAAACCACCATAGGTGCGTTTTATAATAAAATGTTATTAAGTTTTTCATTTATTATAAAACGCACCTACAGTATATGTTTTTGTATATTAAAATTTTTAGCACAAATTTTTTATGTTGGGGTTAGTACTTAGTGTTAGAATTAAGGTTTAGGAAGGGTTTTGGAGACGTAGAACATTTTTACTTTGAGCATCACATATTAATTAATTAGCCAGTTTTAGTAAAAGTGAAGTTTTATCATATATAATTTGACATTATATCACTACGAAAAAAATTTATTACTAGTTTTGATAAGTTTTTTTTTTAATTATTAAAATTAGAAAAAATTAAGATATTTGTTTTTTTTTTAGTGAACGGGCCGATGAAAAAATCTCGGGGCGGCCGATCAGGGCTGACCTTTTTTTATTAATGATTTTGAATGATACTCAACCTTTCTCACTCTTTATACATTGATTGAAAGTTATTCAGATTCGATTCGATCTTTTTTTTCGATCCTAATAAGAAATTCGTATTCAATGCTGCTATTGTCTACATTCCGAAAATATCCGGCCGATATTTTCGGGGCGGCATATTTTTTTCATTTTATAATAAACAAAATATAATATATTGTTTGATTTTTTAAAATTAATCTTGTCAAAATTAATAAATTGTCTAAAATAGATAAAATTTGACATTTTTTTAAATTTTTTAATAGCTTTTTATTTATCAATCTGTTTTTACTATTAAAATGTTCGTCTCGATGAGACGATTCTAATGAGCCCAAAATCATCAAAAACCCAATCACTGGATCTTTAAGGGTTTTACAGTGGTGACGCACATATAGGGTGGGATAAATGGGTCAGACGCGGTCTAACCCATTTCTCCCACCTATAGGTGCGTTACCTTGGCAAAAACCTTAGCGATCTCGGGATCCAGTGATTGTATTTGATGGTTGAGGCTCTTTAAAATCGGCTCATCGAGACGAACATTTTGGTAGTAAATCATCAAAAACGGATTGATAAATAAAAGGTTAAAAAAAAATGTCAAATTACATCTATTTTATCATATCTAAAAATTAATAGTATTTTCAAATCTAAATACAGTATATACATACTATATACGTAATATAAAATTTTTGTTTACAGTACTATACACTATATATATCAGTTTTGAAAAATTTAATAGTTATTAAACAAAAATATAAATATATTATATTTTTGTAACTTAAATAGTTTTGCAAATATATAAAAAAAAAAGTTTTTTATATAATTAAGCAATATAAATCATTTATTTAAATAGTGGAATTTGAAATTTTAGTATTGTCGCGAAATAACGGAAATGGCGTTATTTAGAAAATCGTACCTTCTGAAAATAGTATACAGTAAATGGTTTCAAAATAACGCCCATGCGCGTTCTGAAATAACGCGCATCCATATAAAGTGTGAAACAGGGTGGAAGCAGGTACGTAGATTAACCTGCAGGTTAATTACTTGAAAGCCCAATTTCTTAGCAGTACCGGTACGTACTCAAATGATTTCTATACATTTTGGGTTCGCACGTTTAACTTTTATCATTCACTTTTTATTTTATCAAATATGCCAACTTTTTTTTTTTTGTTTGTTTATTTATTTTTATTTCCAATTAACTATCCTATATTATCTCATGACACATTACAAATTATATCGTTCATATTATTCCTACAGATGGGATATTTGCTAACAAAATCACCCTCCGGGGCTCCGAAGGATTATTTTGTTAGCAAAATTCAGTATAGCAGTATAGTATAATCATTATATGTGATTTACGACGTATCGGACTATCTTTATTATAATCGTTACAATCAATTCCGAAAGGTTGAATCATAATTCCGAAAAATGCGACATACTAAAAATTTAAGAAATAACTTAGGTAAGCAAAATCATAATTAAAATCATCTAACTGCCTCATCAGTCATGATGTTCAAAAAATTTTTGAACCTAGCATTTAAACCTAGCTAGGTTAGGCGACTAGGCACAGTTAAACGATTATCTCGATTATCTGTTATTAGTTGTTTAAAAAATTTTTTAGCCTATTTAAAATAATTAATAAAAAGATTTTTAAAATAAAGATAAAAATTTTTACATGGCATCACTCCTAATAGTTAATTAATCTTATTAAGATAAAATAAATAAAATATTTAATTAGTAAAACTTTGCAAAGAAAAAATAAATAAACGAAAATTTAAATTATATATAAAAAATTTTCGAGAAAATTTTCAAAAATAACGCGTATCCTAAATAACGCGCATACGGTTAAAACAACGTGCAGGTGGGCGTTATTTCGCGACAATACGTATTAATCAAATAAAAAAATTTAAAACCTCTGAAAATTTTCCGCTATCATCAACCGCCATAATCGATAGTCATTTCTAGTATTTTTCGATTTGGAACACTAATTTAGGGACCTGAAAATCTTAATCACTAAGCTATTGACTCAGAAGAATTTTTTTTTAAAAAAAATTAATTTCTTATATAAATTTAAATATTAAACTATTTAGAACCTGTATGTTAATATATCTAATGATTTTAATAAATAAATCCGGATATAAATAATTAATTTCAAAATCGGTATTGCTTCCATGTTCTAAACCGTAATCTGAAAATTGATAGATCATTACCTGCCTTATCAAGTATTAACCATATTCGAACTTGGTTACAGCCGACGAGCAGAATTTCAATTCGCATTGCATCACCTTGCACTAATGTTCCCTTTCTGGGTCACACAGTGTAAAAAAATGCTTCGTAACTTAAGTTTTAGTATTAGTTGTCTCAAAGATCATTACCGATAAAGGATACATTTATGAAAAGCCTCATAGCTTACTTACTTACGTACGTATGTACGTACGTACATACCAACATAAAATATACCAATTATCACGCGTACCATACTAAAGATCGCGTAAAGAAATGTAAAGAAATGCTGTGATCTGTAATATCTAAACTACTTTGGGTTTAATACATCAACTTATTATATCAATATCGATTTGATTATCAAATCCTAATACCGATGGACGGGAACCAAATCTGGCAAGAAAACCAACTTTGTTTCTTCTTTAAAGCTGTAAGTGTGGGCTCTTGCATTCCTCAACTCCGAAAAATTTTATTCTATCGTTTTTTTTTTCCCAATGATGATATCTGAACTTTTCTCGGGCCTTTCTCAAGACTTCGGACGTCTACTTGACAATGCTGATGACTACAACGTGATAATTGAAATAGGTGATGGACTAGATGTGAAAAAATTTCAAGCACATTCAGTTGTTCTTCGTGCTCGTTCTCCATATTTCCATACTGCTTTATCCAGCGATTGGGCAAGAAGAGAAAATGGTTATATTGTTTTCAAACAACTCGGAGTATCATCGACAATTTTCAGTGCAATAATCAAGTAAATTTAATATATATATATTAAAGTAACCATATGTTCATTTCTTCTTTATTTATTTTTTCTGAAAAATCAATATTTAATAGGTACATGTATAGCGGAACGATGTGTTTAGATGATGATGACACAGACGTTTTTGAACTTTTAGCAGCAGCGGATCAATTCAGTCTCCATGACTTACTTAGGTATATAATTTAATATTGAACGTTAATAAGAAAATCTTATATCGCTTTGCTTACCTTTAATATTGTTTTTCAAGTCACATACAGAGCCACCTCATTTTAAATAGATCTGACTGGATACGGCAAAATCTTGTCAAAATTTTACATTTAGCATTAAAACACAAAACATATCAAGAACTCTATAATTTTTGTAATCGGTTAATCGTAGAAGATGCAAGATCATTATTTGAAGCAAAAGACTTTACATCTATCCATGAAGACGTTCTTGTTTCTGTATTGCAACGTGACGATCTTGGATTAAATGAAGCTGACATTTGGGATAAAGTTATTAAATGGGGTATTGCGAACACTAAAAACATAATAGCTTCCGATGTTTCTAGTTGGCGCAAAGAAGATTTTTCTGCATTACAAAAGACGATTAATCGATTAATTCCACTTATAAGACTTTTCCAAATGACACCCGCAGATTATTGTCATAAAGTGCGACCTTATAAGAGACTTTTATCCAAAAATTTACAAGAAGATCTCTTACATTATTATCTCGCTAATGATACTCCAAAATCATCTACTATACTTCCACCAAGAATTGCCCCTATTCAAATTGACTCTGTAATGATTGGTCCTCAACACACCGCCTTAATTGCTCGATGGATTGATAATGAATCAGCTATAAAACAAGGTGTACAATATCATTTTTCACTCCTTTTTAGAGCAAGTCGTGACGGATATTCTATAAACGCATTAAAACAGAAATGTGCTGATAAAGGACCTGTTGTAATTGTCTTAAAAGTTCGTGAATCTGGGAAGTTAATTGGAGGATACAATTCTATTGGCTGGAAGACAGAAAAACTTGGAGTTGGGCAAGGAACAAATGACAGTTTCGTATTCACCTTAGGAGATGGAAGATCACCTGATGGCGCTAAAATAGCACGAGTGACATCTGCAGCTGCAATTGATAAGGACGTTGATGATTTAGCATGGCATGGTCCGCGCTTTGGAAAAGGTCCAGATCTGTGGGTCCGCATGAACAGCGATCAAAGTGGTGAAGCACGTAAAGATACTTATGAATCTAGTATTGTGGATACCGAAGGCAGGTTTAGATGGACTGATTGCGAAATATTCTCAGTCGTAGAAAAATGATACTACTTTATTCTTCTAAATATATAAATAAATTGTATTCTATTCATGTATTATTTGATATAATAATTTTATTAAATTATCGTTGGTTCCTTCAAACGTTCTATTCACGTGACTAACGTTGACATGAACTCGGCTAGTGTCTTAAAAGCTTTTCCGCAGAAAATTATGCTAAAGTTTAAAAGGAAAGAAACCTCCGTTTTTTTTTTTTTTTTTCGTTTCACGAGATATTCATAGTAGCATATATTTTCTGCGTAAAAGCAAGCAAAATCGAAATGGATTAATTTTCCTATAAATTGACCAATTGATGTAACTTAAAAGGGTTGATACGCTGTAATGCATCAAACAAATATGTAAATTTTAGTACCCTTTTTCTCTGATAATTCTAATAAGGCAGTAAAGTATCGCAAACTATCCGATTATTGTAGCTTTCATATGATACATACACTGAATAACGATGTGGAATGATTTTCACGAGGATACAATCGTATCTGGTAAACTTGTACAAAGAAAGTCGGTTGATTAAGCATTTTCATAAACGTGCGAGATTTACTGCGTTTTCCCTTATTTCTCAAGGAAAGATCGATTAAATATCGATATGCTTAGATTGAGAAAATGAATTCGCTGCATATTTTTAATATAATTAGTTAATGTCTCGTCATCTTTATCGTTATACAAATATTATATATTTTAATATTATAAATTTCACACGCTTTATCTATGAATAATTTTGTATCTTATACTGCACCATAACTAATACAGTTAATCTTTTTTTAATTAAAATCGTAAATTTATATCGCTGATAGAATGCCGCACAAAAAATGCGCGGCAGACTCACGATTTTGATTGGCTATACTATGTGACGATTCTTTCTAAAACAATTTTTTTTTTACAGTTGAACAGTTATAGAACACGTATTATCTATAGATCAAGTGAGATAATTTACTATGTAAAATTGTACATTTTTTATTTAATTAAAGAAAAGAATATACGTACGCATAATATATATATAATTTTAAGTTTAAATTATATACTGTATAAAGTTATATATAAGACTAAATATCAATTATATAGTTGATTTAAAGTTATATATTTAAATTTTTACAGTATTATTTTTTTTAAATTAAAAATTAACTTACTCAAATAATTACACCTTCCTCGGGCCGTATGACAGATTTTTTAAAAATGTTCACTACCTACCAGAGCGTTCATTTAGAAAAAAAATTATATAGTGGGTGTATTTATAGAGGGTGCAATTATAGAGAACTGGCTGTGAAATTTTTTTGAACTACTGTATAATTTATTAATATAAAAAAATTTATACTAAATATTATACTGTATTTAAATATCTATATTTTAAACCTACCAAAACAGTTTATATCTTATTTATATACGATTACTTGGAGTTATGTTGTATCATAATTATGCTTTTTTATTTAATATATTACAATATATATATATATATATATTTGAAGAATTTTATTTAATTTCATGATTACTTTATAAATAAGTAATAGTTATACACATAGAACCAGTGTATAACTAATTTATACCCTGATTTTGATAAAGAACTATAGTACAAGTTATACAAGAAACTAGACTTAAACAATTTTATTTGCAATTTAAAACTATTAGAGCAATTTAATGCACTATTTCTTTGTTCTAATAGAAATTGTCTTAAATTTAATTTATAAAAAATTTGCTTACTAAACTTGAATAGCATATTTTTAATAGTTAAACAATGCTAGCTCAAAACCATATTAATAAAAATAATATTTTTTTAGTGTTTTAAAATACAGTATATTTAACCATTGAAAAAGAAAACTTTACAATTTTTTTAAATTTCTAAAGCTTTTAAAAACAAAAGAATATATAAACGTTATACAAGACTTTTTAAATATATACAAATAGTGAAGTTCTCGGGTTGAGAAAAAAATCTTCACTATTGCTTATATCGAGAGAATACTATATATACTTCACTATATCGAGTTGAAGTTTAATAATTCTGGAATTCAAAATCCTTCATTATATATCTTCGCCGTAATGAGAGTTCACTATAACGAAATATACTACTTTTCAATTAATAATATAGCAAAAGGTTTATATACTAAACAATTATTTTATTTTTAGAAGATACAGGTACTTTCTCTCTCTGTACCAAACACAAGTAAAATTAAGTTCAATAGGAATGCAATAGGCACCAATAGACATCAATAAACATTCCTATTGTGTCAAACTTTAACTGGTCAATAGGATATCAATAGTCAATAATTGGTATTATACAATAAAGATATAGATAGGATAATATCCTATTGATGTCTTCTTGATAATATGATTTCGATTGTTGACTATTGATATCCTATTAACCTCTTTTGGAGCCAAAATTTGGCATCCCTATTGAACTTAATTTTACGGATTTGGTTTGTTATGGAGTTTATTACATAATATATACAAATATACATATATTTTTATATCTATTTGCGCACGTCATTTAAAAATATTAGAAACCGTTATTAGGGATGTTACCAGTCTGGTCTGGTTCAGTCTAGTCTTTTCGGTCCAGTCCAGATCTGGTCTATTATGTCTTCATTCTTAAGACTCCGTTAGTTCAGACTGGTCCAGACTGGTCTCGTCTTAAGACTTGGAGCAGATCAATTTTTTTCGGTTTCAGCTGATCTTGAGATTAACTGTGGTCCATTAGTCTAAGACTGGATCACATAACATCTTTAACCGTTATCGTTTATCGATTAGAAATATATCTGTATCAAAAGTTTATTTTTTATTTTTTATTTTTTTAGCAGTAATCTATACGATTTTATAGTTCGTTACATTACATTAGCAAAATGGCGATGTTTACGTATAGGCTGAAGCCTTAACTACTATGCCCTAAATTTTATAACTATCTTTAAATTTTATGAATAAATTTAATAAATTTAAAACTTAAAGAGATCAATCCTTGTTTATATCAACTTTGTTAACACCTAAAAATGGGTTTAATCGTTTAACCGTGTTAGTTGTTTAATTCAACCGGCATTAAGTTAATTTTGCTATGACTAATCTAATTCAGCCCGAAATTATGGACCAATTTTATGCAATTAACGGTTCCTAATCCTTAGATATAAAGTCCATATCAAATTCCTTAATTCTGACTTGTGGTAATGTAGTTAATGAATTATAACTGCTCAAGAAACAATACAAACCCTTTCCTTCAAATTTATTAGAATGGACTTGTTATCGTTACTATTAGAGTTTGGAACCGGTTTATTTTCAAACCCGGTTTTAACATATGAAAAATAAACTGGTTCCAAATTCTAGTAACTACTTAATAGTCTTAATTTTTTAGCAATGAACCCAATTTTTTCTAGACTATACTATTTTTAGATACTGTATAAAGTTCTTTTTGTTCTTGTATTTCAAGAATTACAAAACAGAAAAATAAACTTTCAACGTAGAATACGAGCTTTATTGGCCAATTTTGTTAAATTCGTTTATTATATAATAGCTTGATTGACTAATAAGCATTTTAAATGGTTACCTTCACTTATAATGTTACCGCATTTCTCCGACACATGTTCCCCTAGTTCACGGGTACCTAAGTATGATACTATCATGCTTATGTCCCCGGAAAAAACATAGAAAAACATATTATTATTCGTATAACCCCTACACATACGCCCCAGGTATTAAAATAAAATCTGAAAATTTTGGTCATTGCAGGGTACAGCTCACGGGAGGATAAACATGTCGGAAAAATACGGCAGTTAATAAAACTTGTAGCCAAATCAACTAAAATTGGTTATCTTAAAAGCCTATTATTATTATTATTATTATTATTATTATATTACTATTATTATTATTATTTATTATTATTATTATTATTATTATATTATTATTATTATTATTATTATTATTATATTATTTTATTATTATTAAACTAAGATTTGTAACCGAATATTAAACCTAATTTAGGTTTTGATTCTGAATACTAACTTAAATTAGAATCTATTAGAAATTTTTGAAATTTCGTAAAGACTTTAGGGCTTTCGCTGATATGTGTGTGCCTAAATTGCCAAAAATTATTACGACATTTAATCAGCCAAATTAAACCTTTCATAGTTGCCGAAATTTAATATTTGTCATGATATAGTATAGTTATTTCGGTGGGGTTTTATATGTTCGCCGAAAGTACATTTTAAAATAATAATTTAGGCACACTTCTACACTTTCACTTCGCCCTTCTTTGCTTCAACCAATTACTGGCTATATGTACTACCCAATTGGGCATAAAACAATTATGTATATATAAATTCGTTATATCTAGTATAAATAAATACTATATAGTTCTTTAATCTTGGTGATGGTTCGAGAATTACAGAATTATTAAGTTATCGTTATACTGTTTGGTGTTACATGGATTATTTGGGTACAATAGATATATAATTTTTATTTTACGCACGTACGTGCGTACGTACTGTACGTAGAAGAAAATGCATTAGTAAAAAAATTGTTACGTGTAACAACACCTGCAGTTAGATTAAGAATTAGATTTATTGGCTATACCAAGTAAGTTGTTACTACAAACAAGTATGTACCAACACGTTACAGTGTCTTTTATTTTATCTTATCTTTATACAGTGATTAACTAATCAGAAAGGCATGCTATGCTCTTTTATTTCCCGCAACGGCGTGAATAAGAGGCATGTACGTACGTCAGTCATATAGGGCTCGAAGGGTCTGGAGATCTACTAGACAGAATTGACAACTTTGCTACGTATCGATTGAGAAAAAAGAAGCCAATGGAGGTCTTAATGGACCTTTGATGAATAAGTATCCATTGAGCTCCATTGACTTCATTGTCCTCCATTGAGTCCATTGCCAACTTCAAAGCGGGAAATAAGAGCATTATTCTTCATTTATACCTGGTTTTAAAAATATGTGGAAAAACAATTTCATGTAGAAAATCAAGAATTTAGAAATTCTAATTAGTAAACATTAAAGATCCGATTAAAACGGGATTTTAAAAACTCCAAATTCCTCATTGTATAGTGATCTACATCTTTGAAAGTACTATTTTATTTATTATTAACCATTAATAATCGATCATTACTAACTTTTGCCGTAACTATCTCTGTAATATGTAATAACTGTTAAGTATAATGAGTTACGGCATTTTTGCCGTAACTTTATTATGTTACGACAAATTACAACAAAAGTTACGGCAAGTTACGGCAATTCGCCTGCACCTCTAATCATTACTAATAACCCCTATGTGATCACATTAAAAAACTGTAAAATCGTAATAAAATCACTTTAAAAGTCCGAATTTTCATAAATAAAAATATAGAATGATGCTGTGCTGCGCATTATTAAGTAGATTTAGTCAATAACTCGGCTAATTGGTTAATAATAATTATTAATTATTATTAATTCAAGAAGTCCTATCATATCTACAATCAAACGGAGATTTACAGTATGATCACTAATCAATGGAAAAAACAAGTTTCCGAGAACGTTTATTTCCTCAGTTTTCCGTGGAATTAACAAGCGTTGCGGGTAGTGTTTCGGGATAAATTATCTTCCAAAGTCAGAATATTTCTCCAATAAGAAATAATTTCGGTCCAACCCGCACAATAGATAAAATTTCTAAAATTTGAAACATTTCGCCAGCGTGAAATAGTTTCATCTGAGAGAAATATTTTCGGATTCGTCCGAAACACTAGTTCTAAAAACTCGTTTTCACTGATTAAGGTAGTCTTAAAACCCATTCGCGACTATATAGAAACGTTGAATAAGCTCTTTAGCCTCAATTATTTAGCATCACACATGTGTTACATTAATTAGTAAATTAAAGTGAGTTTGTATAACAAGTATATAGCAAGTATAACATAGTACGTACCACCCTAACATCACCACCTTTGCAACTATTTCACCAGCCAATCAGATTTCAAGATCAGATGTAACGCGAAGAAACGCAAAAATCAAAACAACTCGACATTTTATCTATGTAATTGCTTTCTGCGCATTAACAAAAAGTTCTCATTGCGAAATTTTCGTATTAGTAAAGTTCTTTTTTAATCTAACTTAGTAGCAAACCCTAACCTAATTTAACTGCGAAAATTTTTTTTAGCGAAATTTTTAAAAGAGATATGGTATACATTTAGTTCTTAAAATAATGTAATGCGCTGACTTCTACGTATACAAAATAGTACTTCATAATAGCTCAATCCATTTCATAAAATTAACAAACCAGCGATACAAAAAATGCTTATTATCTCGCTAGAAAGATAGATCAATCATGCTTTTAGAATTTACATTGAATCTAAGAGATCAATCGCTTTTTATTAAATATAATGATCAAATTAATAATATAAAATTGTTTCTCAACAAAGTGCCTGAAAAAAAAAACCCTTTATTAAATTTTAGGCAATAATTGTAAAATATCCTTTTTTAATATAAAATATATAATATATATAAGTTTTAATATATGTAATGCTAGATGATTTGTTGATTGTTTATGAACATTAAATATATATATATGAATGATAAAAAATTATACAAGAAATTGTTAAAAAAGGCTTTAAAATTTCATGTCTATATATGCAAATAGCCTGATGTTCATATAAATCTAATAATAATAATATAATAATAATAATAATAATAATAATAATAGTAATAATAGTAATAATAATATAATAATAAAATAATAATAATAATAATAATAATATACTGTATAATAAATAGTAATAGTATAGTTATAAAATAATAATATATAAACATAATACATAAGAATAAATAAGTATCTACATGGTAAAAATATATATATATAAATGCATAATACAGAAAGGGATAATAATGTAATATTTTAATATTTTGATGGATAAAAGATATCGATGTATATAAAATGTAAATGATATTAATATAGTCATGTTAAATAATTTTAATAACAATACTTTATAAAATGATAAATATACTTTAAATATACTTTATAAAATGATATATATATATAAATATATATAATAATAATAAATATAGTCTTCTTTCACTCCATTTAGAGACCATCATATTGTTCATAATCATCACCATGACCAATACCGACAGAAGTGACTTCAAGATAACCGACAGAGTTACCGAGCTTGAAACCTCCGCAGTGGCCGCCACTTGATCTTCGAGATAGGACATTTATGGCATTAGCGTTAGACATGCTAGATTGATCGCTATTAGAAGGATAATCGGTATAGTGGTTTATGTCTTCTTTCTTCCTCAGACGTTGTGGAATCTTGTTGAAAATTCGAGGATGAGTCTTATTGGTGGAAGGCATTCGACCATAGACACCACCTCCCTCAACAACAAACCCATTATTGATGTGATTGTCAATAGAGGGATTATTGTCATTCGTATCCATAATGACATACCTTTGCTGCGAATTATGAACATTCTGTAAGCCTACATTTCTCATTGGTTCTGTCATCATTGTCGTTCCAGCTTCACTTTCATGTTCGATGGAATCCAGAGCCATTGGATTTGTTCTTGTGTGAGATTTAAACGTGTTGGATGAAAAATTGATAGGGGATGAAGTGGTTGTAGGTGTTGGTTGTCTTTGTCGTTGTTGTATCTGTTGTGAATTGAAGTAATCCGTAGGTGATGCTGTAGTACTTGGTGGCAATGATGGTGTCGTTGTTGTTGAAGTCGCTAAAGATCCTGTTACGGTCATCTGATTATAAGAATTATTATTGAATCCAACTATACCAGGTTGTGTTCCAATATTCATTCCAAAATCCCACGAGAACTGTTCTGATGACATATCAGTCGTTACTGTTGGTGACATGACAGTCGGTGACTGCATCTGCATAGTGGCAAATTGATCAAATATTTGGTTATTACCAATATTTATTGGGATAAATTGTGCGCCTGTTCCTTCTGGTTGTGACGAATATGTGAAATTTTGTGTCGATTGCATATTTGTTGGAGGTGGCGATCCTCTTTTGGTGTTGGCATTTGCAGATGTAGGTGATGATGTATATCCAACAAAAGGTGTAATAATTGGGTGAGTTGATGCCGTTCTATCTATTGTTGACGTAGAAGATTCCACATATTGTTGATTCGTAATGGTAGGTGATATCTTTATAATATTTGAGGATGAAAGATCTTCATTAGCAAACTTTTCTTGATATTTTATCAAAATATTATCCAAAGCTTTGATTGTTTGACCAGCTAATTCTGTCATTATATTATTTTGCTGATAGAATTGACAAATCTTGAGTGTTTTTAAAATGTTTTTGTATGATGGTATGGCTAAAGCTCGTTGTGAAGACGCGACATTGATCTCATGAACTTTTGCTGCTTTTGCTAAACAATAAAACATTGTTGGAAATGTTATGCACACACTGATATTATTTAATGCTTCAACTAAAAAAAAAAAAAAAAAAAAAATTGTTGTGATAAGTAATTTATGTGAGTAATTTTATGTAATTAATTAATTATTAATTAATTGAATTAAGTACGATAGATCAAATAATGTTATAATGTACCTCCTATATGCGTTATGGTATTCGCTGCTGTCGTACAAATATTCAAAGATTTAAAATATGTTTTAGATATTCGTGAATTAGATTGTCTAGCATTATTATTTGCTATATAAGGGTAATGAAGTATCAAATATAGGGTCTGATGGTGCATATGAATTGAAGCTATATGTCCTGGAAGTGGCATATGTTGTGGTGAAGGTGCGTAATGTAAGTAGTGAGGCAATTCCCGATGCCAGATTCCAAGTGAATTCTCAAAGTTAGAAATCATTAGATGATGAGCCCAAGATGAAGACATTCCCATACAAGAAGTTGATTGTAAATGCTCGGTTATTTGGCCAATTAATCGAGCAAGTCTTATAAAATTAACAAAAATGTTTATTTGTTGTGTGTAAGTTGAACTATGTGAATTTTGTTGTTGAGGTGACTGTTGTTGATCATCATCTTGATCATCCACTTCATCTGGCGAAGGAAGTTCTATGTCGCACATTTTATCATTAATTGCCAGAGGATCTCCTGTAGCAAGACTATTAAGCCTATCAACTATGAAGCATCCCCACCATACAAGTTTTTTTGTTTGTCGACCTTTGCCTTGATACACGGGACCATTCCGTCGATTCAATCCCATGCTCTGGGCCATTCTGATAGCCATAGAAGAATAAGTTTGAGGTCTGTACGAAGTTGGTTTTCCTTGGTCAACCATACATAATAATATTAATGCTTGAACAGTCGACACCCTAGGTGCATCAATAAAAAAGTCCAACATATCTAAAAAAATTTCGATATTAGCAAAAAAAAGATTAATATAAAAAATGTTCATAATAAAATAAAATAAAATGAAATAAAATAAGAATATTAATTAGATGCTTACTTCGTGCTCGATCATAAAAAGTTGCCGGGTTGTAAGATTCCGGAAGTGCCTTGGGAAATAGAGCACCAACAGAATATATAGCATTAAGAAGCAAAGGAGAAGGCTGGTCTTCGACATTAGGATTTGATAAATGCCTGAAAAATTTTGCTCGGTTGATAATGGGAAAATATGGGTGAAAATGGTTAAAATATTTTTCCAATAATATTTGAGCGACATCCGAAGGCAAGGTTTTATTAAGTTGTGGTATAGAAGTTGGTAATGGAGGATCGACATATGAAGCGCCGGTAGGTTGATTTGAATTGATGAGAAATGAAAGATTACTACTTTGTAAACTATTTGCGTCATTTGGAGAAATCAAATTTTGGTGAAGTATATCCTCATCATCACTAGCTAATTCATCACTATAAGTGGCAACTAAAGTTGGTGATTCGGAAAATCCAGTCGCATCCGCGGGAGGCGTTGATGGAATGAATAAATGGTGCTGTGGATTTGTAGGTGCAATAGTATTTGAGGGGGAATAATGTCGTATTTTAAATGTTGAGAACCTTTGTCGTGTACTGGTTGTTGTCTCTTCAATTGTTGTTTCTCTTTCCCGTTTGATCTCTTTATTAATTTCATTATTATTGTCTTTATTAACGAGGTTAACCAAAAGAGATTCTATAGTATGTAACCTATCTTCTATCAATGCGACAAATCCTTTAGGAGGGCCTCTGGGTCGTTTTGAAGACGAATCCGAGAACGTACATTGATAACCTAAAAATATTATATGTGTATATGTACATATATTTTACTTAGTGATAAAGTTTTATTGATACAGTTAACATTTGTCTCATTGGTTCAGTATATGTCCATTTATACTGATTACAATAGAATTCTCCAATCAAAAGATTTCGATCTTCACGGCATTTGACAACAGATTAACGAGACACGTTGCAAATTTAATGAAAATGAAAAGCAAACCTCCTCGTTGACAATTGGCGCATGGGGAAGCACCATCACATTTAACTTTCCTCCTCCTGCAAGTATCACAAGCAGTAGTTATTTTTACACGTTTGTGGGAATCACCAGATTCGTCAACAATCATGTCGTCCAATATGAATAAGCTCATTGTAAGCGAAAGGAGTTTTTTTTTTGGGGGGGGGGGGGTTTAATTAAGATTCAACAAGTAGGAGGATCCGAAAGGTTTTGTCTATGAGAACAAGCAATTTTTGTTTTTTTAAAAAGACTCCACTAATGTAAATATGAATATATGCGCCTAATTTAGAATATTTGAATGATGACAAAATTTTTTGCAATGCATGAGATTTTAAAAATAATATGATGGAAGTGAAATATTATTATTCACAATCTTTCTTTTTTTTTTCCTTTTCTGTTTCTGCGTTTTTAGTCGAATGGCTTTGACATATATATATATATATATTATTTACTTGACGTCACCTAATAAGGTATATGATCATTATCTACTTTTGATTATCATATATATTATATCAAGAGGTCGTTGTTCTTTCAACGATTAATAGCTTTGAATGATCCGTTTAATCAAAGATTCTTAAATGTAATAGAACTCAAAAACAAAAAAGAAAAAAAAGAAAGAAAGATGTACTTTTAAAGGAATAAATTTAGATTGTAAGAGAATCGTCAGATAGAAGCATTTATAAAACAATTAAAATTTTGAGTTCGTTGTTGAGCAGAAAAAGAAGAGAGAGCCCATTAAAGTGATATCAAGCACTACTATATAAATAATAAAAGAAATTTTATATGATAGTAATACTAGAATTGAAACATTTTTATTTATTACTTAAACGTTTGGACGTTGTACAATGGGTTGTATCTCGCTATTGACCTACACCCAATTGTGCTACAGTAATACAGAAAAACAAGTCGTCTTTATAAATTCGAATTGCTAAAATAAGTCAAAATATTTTTATACTAATTAAAATACTGTAGGTACATGCACATTTTATAGTGTACTATGGAATTCTCAATTTACAGAAGATTTACTGGATCGAAGATTTATTATCTAAACATGTGGTAAATTTGAAACAGATCTTTAAAAAATGGAATTTAACCCAAGTGTGAATTTTTGCGTTTAATATCATTTATGCATGCGTGGTAATTACCGCGTGTTATATGTATGCTGCCCGCAAGATCTTGAATTATAATTTTATAAAGATCTTTGAATTATAATTTATAATAGATGACGGTAAAATCAACACCTGAGCCACAATCAACTAATTTACGATATCATTCTATATATTCAAATACAATCCATGACAGTTTATTTTCTTGACTTAAAAAGATCGTCATTTGTTCACTAATTTAAGAAGAATTTAATAAATAAACCTTATTATTTTCGCAGCAAATTAAGTAATATGTTCGTTATATGCCGAAAATGATATTTTAACATGCATTACCGAGAATTTAATTCTGTGGTTAGAATGTGGAATATCGAATGTATCAGACAGATAATTATGATTGGATGACCAATAATTGGTTTACAAATTCGCGTCAACAGGCCTGGTATCGCGAAACTAAAAAAAGTATCATTACAAAACATTGTAAGTGTAAATTTTTAATTTGTTTAACATTTAGAATTACTAATGAATGCTTCGAACTAGTGTTAAAAAAAAAGCCACATGAAAGTCGGAATTCTATAGTAATAATTCTAACTGTGACAATTAAACTTTTTACATATTCAGACATATTCAGACCCATTGGGTCGGACGTCTTATGATCAATCGTATTACTTTAGTCTAATTTGTTTACTCTCCGACTTCATACGACGATGATTCAAGTGGATGGAAATTAATTTTGCCTGGTACACAGTGTTACTCAATTCTAGAGTGAATTCTTTGTCTTTTTGATTTCATCGAGTTGGAACATTACTCTAAGAACGATGTAACAAACAAGAATACGCCATTTTTACTTCTCATACTTCTCATTCGTCAGCTCTCAAAGCATGTTACTTTTACATTCTCGATTAACGACTAACTGGTATAAGTCTATATTATTGTTTGTTGACAACGAAATAAATTACACTTGTTAAAATTAAGGTGTTAACGATGGTTAATTTTTCACGCGCGGAATAAAAGTGTAAAAATAAGTAGAATACAGGGTATTTTTTTAACTAGAACGTGGTTTCTTTAATAATCTACATTTTTTACAATTCTATCCGTAGATCCTCCAGATCTTAATCTGTTTCACGAACATATGATTAAAGGCGTAAATGGACCACCAATTTTTTTTTCAATACAGTACTAAATAATACTAAATATATTTTTATCATATCTAATCAACTTCAAACTATATTATCTGCTACTTTGGCTTTTGGTGTAACCTTTGATCAATATAAGATAAGCGTCGGAGAAAAACAAGTTGTCCGCCGAAGACATTAATTAACACGAATTATTGATCTTTCCACAACAATACCCTTAAAAGACGAACAAATTTATTAGTGATAAGATTCTAAATTTGACTTTATGTAGTGATACTATTTTTAATATTCTTAATTGATTTAACTATACAGTATATTATCATAATAAATTCCTTTTTAGAGAAAATCATGCAAGAAAAAAAAAACAATCTTTCAAAATATGCAAATATTCAAAATATTCAAAATATTAAAAATATTCAAAATATTCAAAACATTCAAAACATTGTTAAGAAAACAAAGAAATTAACTCACTTAAATTTAAAGTAAAAATTCCAATAAATTTATCCGAGTAATAAACAGTAATAAACACAAGAGTCTAACTGTAAATGACTAAGGGGAAAAATAAATCCAGATTGATTAGTGCGTAAAGGAAATAATTAAAGTGAAGATATCAATTGCCTCAAATGAACAAAAATAAAAAACAAGCATTTACAAATAAGGGTTCACAAACATTTGCTCATAGTAGCCAATCATTACACGTTTACAAGTTAATATGGGTGCACAAAGTTTCAGAACCTTAAAGTAAAGAAAAGTTTCAAATTGAACATGAAAAAAATACTTTCATAGATCCAACAATCCTTTAGCTGTTAGACGAACACATGTGTCACGTGATATGAATTGTGCATAATTAAGAACGCATATATACAAAATGCTGGCATTAAATCCTCATGTGCACAAATTTTCTGTAAGAATTTTATTTACACAAAATATATTGCACCTCCACGAGAGTATTCGTATGGAACAAACAAGTTATTATAGGATGTTATTTACTTAAATATGGATCTGTGTCCTTTTTTTCTTTATCGAATACATTTGTGTGAATATACTAGCATATTAAATAAACTTAAATACAATTATGCTTTCATATTATTTGCATATTAATACTTTTATTAATGTTTTAAGGTTTACCGGTTATCTTCGTTCAAGAATATTTCCACGCGGCGAAACTGTGATACAAATAAATAAAACGCTCACGTTTAGCCACATGATAAAAAGCATCCTTTTATCAGAGGATCTCGTTTGAGTTGCTTTGCTTGTTTTGATATAATCATTTGCCAAGTAGTATAAATTATTATGATGTAATTTAATATTTGGTATCTTCGCAACAGAAATCCTATTAAGTTTTTAAGTGCCTAGATTATGATGCAAGTACGTGTAATAATTTGATTATCAAAACAAAAAACAATAATACAGATTTGAACAAAGAATAATCACCAATATTTATCACATTTATAATGTTGTATTGGTTATCATAAATATTTAAAGTTTTTATCTACTTATCAGTAAAAATTTTATTAGTAAGTTCACGCAAGATAATGTACCGGATAGACGATCTATTATTTGTGAGCTGATATTCTGATATTAATTTGAATTTCATTTTGTTGTTCATCTGATCACGCCATCAAGCACCATTTTGCACACAAATAAAATCTAGGAGTAAACTTTATCAGTTCCATGCATACAATGTTATCCGAAATATCAGTTACTGCAGGTTATGCAAAAAATTATAATGCGTTAATTATACAGAAATCTCAGTTCTTGGAAATCTTGAATGTTTAAATCTCAGTTTTTAAATTATAATGAACCAATGAAAATATGTAACATGCAATGAAATATGCATGTATGCGTTGGTTTTATTATGCACTCACTTTCCTGTTTTTTTCCAGCAATAAAATGTATCAATAAAGTTTTTACTCAGACTTAATGTATGTAAGGGTCTTACCAGTCAAGTTGTTATTTATTGGTATTGGTCTTTTTTTTTTTTTTCATACTACATGTCGAATGATAATAGTTGCAAAGGGAGGGAAAAAAACCACAAAATCCTGTCGTAATGTAATGTGTATGGTGTGTCTTGTCCCTCCTGCATGAATATAAATTACAAATAGGGTCGACTCAACTCATTACCTAATTCAAACATTTATTTATTTCGTCACCAATGAACGAGAAATTCAGACAAAGAACAATGAGCTGGCTAAAAACAAATAGAAATCAAAATTTAATATATATAAATATATATATAATATATAAATATAAATATATATATAATATATATATATATATACTGTATATATATATATTATATATAGAAAAAAATTTAAAATTAGAACTTTCCACTTTGCCATCTTACAAATGTCCACGCCAACGCTCATGTCCGAATTAATAATGATATATGGCTGTCTCGGCTGGATCCTGATCGATCTTCTCCCGATTTGACAAGTCGCGTGGTCTAATGTTTTTTTTTTTATTGGTTCACACACTAGTACTAAATTAGAAACTCATATTGTGCAGCATAACTAGCATTTTAGTGCTAGGGTGGTTAAATGTCAGAAGAAATTAAAAATTAGTGAAATTACTGAGCTATAGAATAAAAAAAATTGCTAGTAAAATATATTATTCTTCATTATAATCGGGCCTTGCCTTTAGTTACCCTAATGTTAATAAATCACGACATAATTCTTTGTTCAAAATTTACTCATAATTACTTAGTTCAATTTTGTGCCGGATGAAAGGGTGCATACCATTGCTTTAAAATTTATAATTTATAAAATGCTTGTTCTAAATGGAACATTTATTAAGAAAAATTTCGTTCCATTTATCATAAATTCTTAATTACCCGATCTTAATGTAAGATAACCTTATAATAAACTAAATAAAAACTAAAATTGCTTCGCGAA